TTTTTTACAATTTTAAATCTATATACCCAGCTTAAAAAATTCATCCAATAGATATGGACGAGTTTAAGAAAATTTTATGACCCAACTTATAAAATTCCATCTCCACGAGTCAAAAAAATCACATCCCTCATCTATCGTAACAACTTTAAAGGTAAATAAAAAAAAGTCTAATTACTACTATAAATCCATTATCTATATAGGTTTTTTAAAAATCTAAATTTCACCTGTCTAATTACTAATATTTTAGATACTTTTAAATGTTATTTGTATAAATTTTTTTACACATTTGCTCTCTCTATATATATATATATACATATATGGAGGTTAAATAAAGAATTTTTTGACATATTTTCTTTACTGTTAGTTTAGAAAAAATTAGGTAGCTTCAAACATTATATGTGTATAATATAAAATATTTTAGATGCTTTTATAGATGTTATAAAATATTTTAAGTATTTTTAATATTTATATATCACACTCAAAAAGAATATTTTGCCAAAAAAACATTAAATACACATTGTAAATGTTAATAGAAACAGTCTTCAGTGTTCGTCTTTGATTTTGTCAAAACAAATCTCATAAAATCGGTGAAGTCAAAATTTGTACGTAAAGTCTATCTATACTAAAAAAAGGTAGATTCAACATTCTTTATCTAATTTCTTCTTTTCCCTATCTAATTCCTTCTTATTATCTAATTGTATAGAAATCTGTTCTGATTTTGTTCAATCCTCTAATTGTATTTGTATTATATCCCATAAAATTGGTTTAACAAAAAAAAATCCATAACATCTGATGTTCGATCAGGTTTTTGGCTTCTAGGAATTTATAACAAAAAAAGTACGTAAAATCTTTACTAAAATAAAAAAAATATTTTATTTATTATCTAATTTATTATCTAATTGTATGAAAAATCTGTTTTGATTTTATAGTACGTAATACAAAATGTGCACCCGTGTTCAGGAGCTATTTAACGGGCAAGCTCTGTGGAAATCATTTAGTGCTTCTGTCCCGTGCATACGGTATGTATTTGTATTACACATACTAGAAAATTGTGCACCCCGTGCATCGCACGGACTCTGTACTAATAAATGACCTTATAATTGTGCACCCCGTGCATCACACGTGTTCACATTTTGGCCTATTACAGGTCACGTACTATATATATCCCGTACATTTTTCTTTATTCATTTATATAATTATAAGACTTGATAAATGCCCTTTAATGAAAGCGTAAGCGTCCTGGTCCGGTTTTAACGGATAGATCTTGGTCCTTGCCGGTAGAACGCCGGAAACCTGCAAATAACTCTCACACCGGGGGTTGTGTCCGGTGAAGAGCCTCTGATGCTTAAGTCAGTATGTATATTAGTATGCTGAAGTGAAGTATGGAAAAATAGAATGTGTTAAGGGAGAAAGGCTCACACCCTTTATATAGGGGTGAGATACCTGCCCTAATAGCTGCCCGGAAAGGGATGAGCTGGCTGCCCAAGTTGCCCGTCCGTACTCTGACCCGCCGCACACATGTCAGAGGTGGCGCGGGACGTTGGGAGCTGTCAGAGGTGGTTATCGCTATCACCCAATACAATGTCGACACGTGTCCCCCCTGCACATGGGGTAAATATTCTCCTGGGATTCCGGCTCTTACGCGCCCTCGTGCTACACGCGCCCATGACTAGGTCGACTGTTGGTTCCTCGAAACGATCGACCTGTTGAGGTCGAATAGGTTGCCCGATCGTGTATTGGTCGAGCGATGGGTCGCTCGATCGTTTGTCTGGTCATGCGATGGATTGGTCGACCACCTGCCTGGTCGATTCCCTGAATGTTCGATCTTCCCGCCTTTTGGCTCGGTTCCCTCCTGGTTTAACCTTCTCGACCGGCCAAGCAGACCGGTTTAGCCTTGTGTATATAATATCCCATATCATAATTTTGTGCACCCCGTGCATCGCACGAGATCTGTACTAGTATATACATTGAAGTCCGTGGCACAATCTTCATTATTATCACACACCATCTTTAAAAACTGAATAACATTAATCATATAATTTTTACATCAAATTTTGTAGAGTGACTAGAGTGGTATGTAAAATTATCTTTTTTTCCAATATCACATAATCATTTTCAGTATTATATAATTGCTTCACCTCAGCTTCTGCGTTT